AGATAAAGAGAGGTTCTTTGAAACCTAACCTATAATTACAATCCCTTTTTCCAGAACGAGATCCCGTACGGCATGGGGCTGCTCGTGCAAATGATGGAGTTCGCGCTCCCGAAGGCCGGATTTTAAACGCTTATAAGCTTCTCATTTTTACAAAAATTCTCCGCCTCTCAGACCCCCACTTCCATCTCGATTTTCTCCGTTATTTGTCATTGTTGCAATTCCTCTTACTGCACCCTGACACCCACCAAGTGCACATGTACAAAAATTATTGATTTATTAACTTATTTATTTATTTTTTGGCTTTTGATTCGGGTAGAATAAAGCCTGAATATATGAAAATCGGACAAAATCTAGTAAAAAAATTAAAAATTACCGAAACTTTTTTTGTACTTCTAGCAAGTCTCAAAAATTGTATTTCTTTTTTCATTTAGATTTTATATCAACTGAAGTCCAAATTCAAACTAATATTTTTCTAAAATTTCAATAATTTAAATCTCAAAAATTGACGAATTTCACGATCTCGGTGCATTGGAGTCTTTATGCTTTGGCAGCCCCTCCTGATCTGGAAGTTCTGGGAAAACCAGGAAAAAAGGAAACCAAGGATTTTGCAGGATGGGAAAATCAGCAAAAAAATAATTGTTAGAGGGGCCAGGAAAAGATAGAGAGAAAGCGAGAGCCTGAGAGAGAGAGAGAGAGAGAGAGAGAGAGAGAACGATTTCCCTGGGTCGAGAAAGGCGGCTCGTGATTTCTGGGTACGATATTTGCACCTGAGGCCCCGAAAATGAGCCATGCTTTAGCATTAAAATAACCTGCGGTATCAACCGTTCTGGGTTTTTTTTAAAAACGCAGCAACAAACCATGATACCCAAAAGTGCGTTTATCTAATGCTCCATAGCTCATGCTCGTTTCCTAGGTGTTTATAATATCGCGTAAGCTATCTTAGCTGTGTTTTGACATCTATCTTGATTTTTATTATCTTTCGCTCACCTGGTAGCGTGGTTTCTCTCCCTCTCTTGCTAAATATCCCTCTCTCGTTGTCTCTCTCTCTCTCTCTCTCTCTCGCTCTCTCCCTCTCTCACTCTATCTCGCCTCAGCGCGGTTGCGTCGCGGTCGCGTCACGCTGCCCGACAACATCGCATTAGCATGCTGTGGTACGTACAGATTTATTCACCGAACGCTGCCGACACGACCCCTTAAATCCCGTAGACCACACGATGGACAAATCCGACGACGCCACATGGCGCTGTTTTGACAAGTTTTCCCGAAAATGCCCAGGATTTTTCGCCAAATCCTACCCCAAAAATACCTCCCCCAAATTCTGGGTAATCGCCGCCCAGGGTCGGGTACTGTAGCGTCGGCGGAACCTCCCCCGCATATTGGTTTTTCAAGCCTGAGTATCACATACAGGGAAGGCGCTGTCGTTTTCCAGCATAACGAGATTTTTTGCACCGTGCTTCATGATTCCTAAATGCGCATACCTCACAATTTTTATTATAATTTATTCAAATTGTATTCTATTTGCTAAAAAAATTTAAAGAATAATTTTTTCTATATACACAGAGTGTCCCAATAAAAAAAACGTCCGCTGACTCGACGCCGAAGTATCGGATCGGAATGATAGTTTACATCGTCCGAAAGCCGTTCAAGCGGCGAGTTTGCAAGCATTGTCAAAACCATGTTTTTATTTAAATGCGCTTTTTTACAAGCCACTGTTTGGGGATGTTTACGAACTAATTTGTCTAAAATGTAGGATAGGAAATGTAGGGTAGGCTATTTACAAATGCGAACCGAAATGCCAGTTTGATATCAGGATGTTTTGACGATTATGATGCTTCCATTATGGCGGAGTTCCTTTTACCATTTCCATTTTTTTTTTAATTTATTCATCTCAAACAGTTCGATCATTGAAATTTTGGCAAAGCGTCAAGAAAATGAGGTCACGATGTCGGGACTCTTGACTATCTGAATTTCGGACTTCCGGATTTTTGTTGTCGGGATTTCGAATGTTTTTTGGAATTTTTGGCCATCGTGATTTTGGCGTGTCGGGATTTTGGATGGCGAGATCGGCAAGGTGCCCCTTTTCACACCCGACCAGACTTGCTTACTTTGGAACTGCCAAAATCCAGACCCCTCTTTGGGAGCACGGGAAGTATGCGTCTTGCACCCAGGGGCTTCATATTAGGTTGGAACTAAAGTTCGCGCAATATTTTTCTTTCTTTGTATTTTTCGGACCGGAAAACGGGCACGAACCAAAATGTTTTTTGGATGAACGGATATGCAATAAAATTCTCTACTAGATGTGTGGGACGGAAGCGCGTTGCTTCCCTATTAGAATTTTTTTAAAGCTAGGTTTGAGCCAAATGAAAAATCGCTTCGGCCCGCCTTTACAAAAGAAAATTGGCTTCCTTTTTAGGCTAATTCGGCATACAGCCAGTAGATACAACTTATTCTCATATTGATGATCAGTTCCTACCGTGATTTTATAGCGGTTCGGAAAGATGTCCGGGTCAAAAATTTGAAGTGCTCGCGAGAGAAACGCAAAAATCTTAAAAACTACTGGGGCTAAAAACCTGTAATTTTGGTCCCACATACTCATGAACCCAATAGATAACGGCAAAGAGGGACATCGGAATCTGGCCACTAAATTTTCTGAAAGAAATTTCCAAAGTTCGATTGCGCGAACTTATGTTCAAACCTAATAGAACAGACTGTGAAAAATTTTCGAGATGATGTTCCGGGAAACTGATCTTCCGGGAATATTACTCTGTACCCGGGACCAGCGCGCTGATCCGGATTTTCGCCCACCGAATGAGGAGAACCAGTGGTTTAAAAGCCCAACCCCCGCCAGCGGATTTTTTTTCTTTTTCTGATCATTGTTTGGTGCTTACTGTATGCGTGAATCGGAGCATACGGTAACTGGGTCGAAACTCAGTAGCCGGCGTCTCGCCTCCTAAACCTGTCAAGGCGGACGTTCAGGGATTTATAGGGGAGCACTTACGAACATGTCAGCAGCTCTCCCTATCTCCTTATCTCTCGCGTTCACTCTCTCTCTCTCTCTCTCTCTCTCTCTATATATATATATATATATATATATATATATATATATATATATATATATATATATATATATTTCTTGCTTTTCGTCTTCAGCTTAAATGGATGTATACCTTCCGAGCGTCCCAATAAAAAACACCCCCTCTAACTCGACGCAGAAGTATCGGATCGGAATGATAGTTACACCACTCGAAAGCCCTTGAGACGGCGAGTTTGCAACAATCTTCAAAATCATGTTTATATTTAAACCCGCAATTCTACAGCCATTTTGTAAAATTTTCCGGTTTTTCGAGGTTGCGTACGAGCTAATTTGCTTTAAATTCTCCAAGCAAAATGGCCGAAAGTAGCCGTTAATTACATGCATTCCTTAATGTTTGTAATGCGCTATAAAACGGCACCTTTAAACAAAAAAAACTGGTTGCGAAGCTGCTTGCAGACTTGCAGTTTTGAGGGCTTTCGAATGGTGTAATCCGTTCTGATCCGATACTTCTGCGTCGAGTTAGTGAGGGTTGTCTATTGTTGAAGCTCTATCTAATTCTATATAATTTTTTTTATACTTTCATCCTTTATTTTTTAAATGACTTAGCTTTTGAGACCGGAGATGCAGAAAACCAATGCAACGGAAGGAATACCGGGCGAGAAGTGCCGCGTTTGCGGGAATAAGCCGGCCCGATTATGCTACGGATCGGTGGCGTGCGGGTGATTATCGTTTTTACTTGCAAGTATTGTTAAAAAATCCGCTTTTCTGGCATATAGAATTTCCCCGGAACACTTTGTTATCACGCAAAAACAATTTGCGATTTTGCGTCGTTTCGATTTCGGTATAAGATAAACGTGCAACAAACATACCCCCTTTTTTCGGATTTTTCTTAAATTTTAAAAATTCCAGGGGTTTCCGAAAATATCATAACTCCGGAAAAGCAACATATCATAATTTCCGTAGTCAAAATCGTAGATTTTTTAGACTCTCCCACTTAATTTTTTAAGGACCCGTCCTCCTTATGTTCAGCCCCCCAAACCCCAGACCAATTCTGAGGATTGAATAAAACGCAAATATCATCGAAAGCGGATCTGTCGACCACATAGGATAATCCATGGCTAGCGGATTCCGGAGACCGCTTAGCAAAATAAGCCGGATGCTGACATATAGGGGATACGGTATCGGAACGCGAATGTACACTTTGGCACGGATTACGGACGCCGTGGTTAAAACGACGTTGCAAAAAAAGCAAAAGTTAAGTCAGTAGCAATTTAGCGCATATATCGTGACTTTAAAGGGGGAAACACGTTCAAAAAAACGTCATGGATTTGGTCAACCATCCATGCATTAATAGTTCTACAAAATTTCGATGCACTTGCAAAATTTCTAACCTAAACCTCTGAGCCCTTGTTACCTTTAAAACGCTGATTTTTATTCAAAAGATTTTTTTTGGTTTGTTTATGAGCCCAAGAACCCAACAAAAAAATCAAACAAAATCGGCAAACAAAATTGCCTTTAACCAATTTTCCGGAAAATTAATTTTTACGCAACATTTTAGACCCTGCAAAACGTTTTTCCTACGCGTGGCAACGAGGAAAGCTACGTACGCATGCACCCTCGGCGGAACCTGTGTATATCGTGGGAAATTGAATTGAAACATACGCTATTAATTTTTAGCAAAAAGCGTCTGCCCGGCGTGTCGATATCAAAAGTGCCTGGCCGCTGGCTTGGTGCCGGAAAGTAGGTTCGGCTCCTGGTGATCAAAATTTGGGTATCGCGGCTCCCCTGTAAGCTACAGAGTTGTAAGATACCAGATGGTTACAGTCGCTTCGCGACTGCAACCATCTGGCCTTCGGGCTACCCTACATGTCCCACTCCACCACATCCTTTCCCACCTCTATCAATACCCCCGATAGCCGAAATCCCGTTCAAAAACTACCTAAATACCTCACCGGTGGCTTCAGATACCCCCCATTGCTGAAATCCCCTTCAAAAACTACCTAAATACCTTCCCGATGGCTTAAGATACCTCCCCTAGCCGAGATCCCCTTTAAAAACTACCTAAATACTTTCCCGATGGCTTAAGATACCTCCCCTAGCCGAGATCCCCTTCAAAAACTACCTAAATACCTTCCCGATGGCTTAAGATACCTCCTCTAGCCGAGATCCCTTCAAAAACTACCTAAATACCTTCCCGATGGCTTAAGATACCTCCCCTAGCCGAGATCCCTTCAAAAACTACCTAAATACCTTCCCGATGGCTTAAGATACCTCCCCTAGCCGAGATCCCCTTCAAAAACTACCTAAATACCTTCCCGATGGCTTAAGATACCTCCCCTAGCCGAGATCCCTTCAAAAACTACCTAAATACCTTCCCGATGGCTTAAGATACCTCCCCTAGCCGAGATCCCTTCAAAAACTACCTAAATACCTTCCCCGATGGCTTAAGATACCTCCCTAGCCGAGATCCCCTTCAAAAAACTACCTAAATACCTTCCCGATGGCTTAAGATACCTCCCCTAGCCGAGATCCCCTTCAAAAACTACCTAAATACCTTCCCGATGGCTTAAGATACCTCCCCTAGCCGAGATCCCCTTCAAAAACTACCTAAATACCTTCCCGATGGCTTAAGATACCTCCCTAGCCGAGATCCCTTCAAAAACTACCTAAATACCTTCCCGATGGCTTAAGATACCTCCCTAGCCGAGATCCCCTTCAAAAACTACCTAAATACCTTCCCGATGGCTTAAGATACCTCCCCTAGCCGAGATCCCCTTCAAAAACTACCTAAATACCTTCCCGATGGCTTAAAATACCTCGCCTAGCAGAAATCCTTTTAAAAAACGAAAATAACGACCGGCCGGATGGAATGAGAGAAAAAAAGAAATGAAATCCCGCGTGAAAATTTTCATCCACGAAACGCGCGCCACCTGGCTCACTATGTCCAAAATCACCCCAACCTCCGTCCCCCACCCCTTTTACTAAGGAAAAAACTTTCAAAGTTAATTTTAATAATTTTAACTAAAAGTTTTTCATAAATTTTTTATCAGTTTGGGGGTTTCTGACTACGCTCTATCCGAATCCGAAGAGAGCTAAGCTCTAGCTCCTTCCCCCTTCGAGTTGAATCCGGGACATGACGGACGGACGGACACCACAGCAAAATTATTATAGTAGATACCACAATGGTGTTCTTGGGCTAAATCGTAAGGCTGCAGTAGATTTGAGTCGAAAAATTACCGAAAATCAAATAACAAAGGAGGAAAAGTTAAAATCACGGCTGAGTGAGGATAACCTAGCAATACTAAAAAATTTAGAAATTATATAAATTATATACGATGGCCGATAAAAATAATATTTGAAGTTCAGAAGCCGGACGTCGGGACGGATGCAATAGAAGGGCTTTGGAGGGCACAGAAGAGTTGCTGTTTCCAAAATCACCGATTCTGCCTTCGTTGACGGAGGTAGGGTGTGTACTTTTTAATTTTGGAGTAAGTTTTAGTTTTTAGTTACTTATTTTAAGTATTACATATTTTCTACACAAACCGGCGCAATTCAGGAGGCAACACGTATGGTCGCCGTGGCGTTCCCCTCTCACTTTATGACATCGACAACAACAGATGATTTGAGTGTGGAGCTCGGGCGATTGTTGAGGGTCGAAGAGTAAGCGAATTATGTCATTTTTCTAGTAAAAAATTTGGGTTTTTTGCCTATTCTGTTAAGAACAACAATGAATTGTTGAGTGGTTTTTGATTCCTGGCTAGTTCCAACAAATATTTTTTAAACTGTTGAAACACTGAGACGTTTTCGTTTTTTGGGCTATTTTTTAAACCAAAGTCAAGATTATAAGACAATTCTATACATCAACATATTTTTTTTAGATTTAGGTTCTATGACATTGCATTATTTTTTATTTTCTGTTTTTAAATAGTTTCTATTTTCTAGATACTGTTCTGCTGACCAGCCGTGGATCCCGCTAAAGCACGACTTTGAATTTAACGTCAGCGGCACCATGGAGGAGAGTCTTTGGGATCCGCTGAAGATTTGTCCAAGGGTTCCGGTCCGTTTTTCACAATTTCCTTTTGTATTTTCACAATTTTTTGCCTTTTTTTGTTTGGTTTGCAACTGGTAGGCAACGACTAATCCACGACCAATTTTCCAGATCGGCCTCAGCGCCTCCAACGACTTCAACCCGTTTGACAACCAGATGGGCGGGAGGTGCTGGGCTCGATGTCTTGTCTACTGCGCTGACTTTTTGAGGGAAACACCTGAGATTTGGCAGCTAACCCCACAAGATCGGGTAGGTCTTTTTAAATGTACTTCGAAGTGCAAAATCAATTTCTTCCGACGGCTAGGCCTAGATACTTTCAAGGCCCGCAAAAAAACGCTCACGAGCTCGCTTTTCAGCTTTCTTCCTAGGTAATCCTGTCCAGGCTGAGTTTCATTTTTAGGGCAGTTTCTGCATCTACGCCTGCGGAATCCTCGTCCCGATCCAACAATTTTATCACACCTTTAAAACGGGATATTCCGGACTGCTCCAAGGGCTTGGCATGGGGCTGAATCCGAATGACTGTGTCGAGGGAAGGTGAGGATGAGGATGAGATGCGTAATTAAATTAATTCAACGCGTTTTATCCATATTTTCAGCATCCCCGATTTCCTAAAAGCCACCGGCCGTGAACTCCACGAAAAAATCTTTCCACTCCTTCGTCGAGTACGATTCACTTTTGAGGAATTCCTGATCTGGAAGATGGTCGTCATTTTTACGCCTGGACGTATGTTTTTAAAATTTTTTCTTTCGTTAAATCAGTTATTTGATTTTTTAAAATCTATTTAATGCTGCGGATATTAATACGTTGAGCCTAAACATTATACTAACCTGAAAGCTATTTCCAGATTTTTCTCTGGGATTTTAGCAATTGGCCTGACGGATTACAGCCGCAACACGATACGCGTCGCACGACAGAAATATTTGTGGATGCTGTCGAAGGTAGTTTCTAGTCGGAAATCGATATTAAAATGCCGACAAGTAAAAGATTCAAAAAAGAAAATGCCGCCAGCTGAGTATCGGTTCCGGAATAGCTGCAAATTTAAATGAACTTTGCCTCAAGGGTTACCTTTTGACCTCTGGTTTTTGGGGTTGTCGACATTTTTGATGTCGGTATTTTCCTGTCGGCATTAGGGTCAATTATGCTTACACCGATTAGAATTTTTTGCAGATTGTTTGCCAGGCAAAAATGCGCTTATTTTAGCTCCTTCGTCAGAATCGATCGGAAAACGAGGCGATCCAAAAGATGCAAGCACTAATGCACGTTCATCGATGGTTTGAGGTATCCTTTTTCAAATTAACTATTGGGCTGTCAAATAAAAATCGTTATTCTATTTATTTCGCTCGAATAAAATAATTTAGAAATATGCTCATCAGTCATGCCTATTCGGGGCCAAGTGCTTTGTGATGGGTGGAGTACAAGCCGGCATCCACGGACGGTTGATCGGAGACTTTTGCTTTGCTCGAATTTAGCGTATAACTTCATAGCACCGTCGTTTTGGCAGACACCTTAAACTGGATTACGTTACGTTACCTTACGTTAGATATTTGAATTAAGTCGAAAAGTGTTTGCAATTCTTGATTTCGTACCTCTTAGTTTACACTTATTCACCGGAAAAAGTTACATGGTGAGTTAACTCCTTATTTTTGTTTTAAACCTCAGCTTCAAATGTATTTACCCCCGATTCTGCATTCATTTTCCTTCCTCAAACAATTGCATTTATTTAATTTTAATAAATATTTTATTAGATTTCGTTTGCCATCAACAACAAAAAAATTTTGTTATCTGAAAAAGTGGTTTCCAAAAATATAGCTTTTCAAATCCACTAAATATCTTCAAATTTTATTTTAGACATTTTTGCGTTTTCTAACTTCAGAAATTCTCCTCCGGTACTCGAAGTGTACCCCGATCTTCACGTACTTATCATATTTTCTCGCTTTTTGGTCCTCGCGTGGTGTTATAAGAAAGAAAGAGAGAGAGAGAGAGGGAGAGAGGGAGAGAGAGAGAGAGAGAGAGAGATAGAGAGAGCGAGAGGGAGCGAGAGAGTTCTGGTACACCTGGGATGACCGGATAATCCCCAGGATTCCAGCCCCCGAGGGTACCTTCCATTAGGGCCAAAACCCTGAAGATTAGCCCCCCAAGGAGATTTTACATTTTTTAAGGCATATGGAAAAATTAATTTCGCCGGATTGGCCCGGGATGCCGCGTTTTGATGGTCGATGTGGGGCACGTGATTTTGGTTCCCCCATAGTCTGTGGCGGCTAAACCACCCTGGGTGCACATTTAAGAAAATTACACTTTCTCCGGTCACACCGGCATTCCCGTCAGTTACCGTGTACCTACTTGTTTGAGTTTCTTTTTTTCATAGTCGATGAAAACTAACGCGAAATTAAAACGCCTTTTTTTGTGTGATCTACCTGGTTTCACAGTTTGAAATTCACAAATTCCAAAACCGGGTGCTTTCGCATTATCGGGGGGACGGGGGGTGGCAATTTTTTGGATGGTTTCTTCTATTATAAATCGTGGTAATTTGCTGAACCGTTTTTGCTACTCCTAAACGCCAAAACTTTGTTTTTAAAAAACACAAAGGTCGTTCAAAAACGTCGATGTCGCCGAAAATTCGCATTGGATGTTTTTTAATGTTTTGGCCGTTTTTCAACGCGGAAGAATCCACAAGCAATTTTTGGTCGTGTATTGCCGGCGCCTGTAAATGGGCGAAAAAGCAAGGAATTCGACCGCTTTCCTCGGCTAGCTATCGACAGCTACATGTCAAGCCAAATTACGCGTGCTTGAGAGCATCAAAAAGGCTGCATCTGCACATTTTTCAGTAAGAAAATGTGGGCCGCCGCTTTTTAGTCTATTAAAAATCAAGAAATTCCAAAAACGTACCCTGGTCTTTCGCAGAGAGTTTTTCATTCTAGAAACTTTAGTAGTGATACCTGTACTCTTGGGTGGTGCTAGGACAGCTGGTACTATCTGCAGGTGCTCTCGGAGGTCCTACCCGATGCATATAAGGGGGGTAATTTGGTGCCAGCGCCGAGATTAGCTCCGAGAGCGGCGCCCGGTCACTACCCCGAAAGTCACTACCCCGAAATCGTTTACCCCGAAAAAGGACGGCATTGTTTTTCCCGGAAAAATCCAGTTTTCATGCTGATTTCCAATGAAGACCATGCAAATTATTTCGGGGTGGTGACTTCCGGGGTAGTGACTTTTCGGGCTAGTGAATTTACCCCCATCAGGTAGCTTCCCTGACCCACTCCTCACCCCTCTAGAAACGTCTTGTCCCGTTTCTGGCCTAAAAACGTATCCTTTTTTTGCCCGGTTTTTGGAATTAGTGGACGTCACCAGTTACCGTCAAGAAAACCTCACTTTTATTTCTTTTTGAATTATTTACTGAGATTTTGCTTTTTTTATGGTGGTGTTTTTCCAAATTAAAATTATTTGCTCCGATTGTTTTCTACGAGCCGGGAAGATTAATTTGTTGTAATACGTATTTTCATACAGTCTTTACTCCAGTTTAAATTGTGTTCAACCGCGAAATAATCTAGCAAACTTTAAGAATTTTGAAAGTTGGCAATTCTGGTCGAAAATTGCGTTTTTTTGATCGAAAATTCCAAATTTTTTCATTTTTTTTTGTAAAAATTTGTATGGTTTTTACGCTTAAAAATAGAAAAAAATGGCTTCCTTTCTTCCTTCCAAATTTCCTAAATTAATATTATTACTATTAGAAACACTAGATGCTTAAAAAAATTACGTTTGTTCTCCTCCCCCGATCCTGAGAAGAACCGGATTTTCAATGTGCTTTTTTGCTTTTATGAATTCCGTTAATTCTTAAGAAATTCAGATGGAGCCCGACGCCGAGGTAGTCGAGGTGCCAGAAGCAGAACTGCTATGTTTGGTTTGCGGAGCTGGCGGCGCAAGGCCCTACTACGGTTCAATGGCTTGCGGGTATTTTTCCTTGTCCAAAATTTCACCGATAGTGTGCCTTCAACATGTCTTAAAAATTACTTTTCAATTTTCAGTAGTCGTCATAAATTGTATATTTTAGCCCTTGCAAGCTCTTCTTCCTTCGCGTCGCCACCAAGAAGAAGACATACAGATGTGATGTGGGCGGGGCTTGTGTTTACCGTAAGATTTCAGGGCAGCTACGGTAATTCTAGAGCTTTTTTAGCTCGAGATCGATGCCCGGCTTGTCGGTACGAAAAATGCCTGAAAGCTGGACTGGTGCCGGCAAGTGGGTTTTTTTATTAAGACGCCGAAAATCATTAAGATCTTGATGACAAACGAACTGACTAGTGTTCAAGCATCACAAATTAAATCCAAAACACAATTCAGAACTAATCTTCAAAAATATGCACGAAAGCACGCAAAGACGAGCCGAAAACCATTAGGAAAAGAAACCAAAGATAAGAGAGGGTGAGGGAGAGTGAGAGAGAGCGAGTGAGAAAATGAGTGCGAGAGAGATAGGGATAGAGAGCGAGAGCGAGTGAGATAGGGATAAAGAGCGACAGCGAGAGAGAGATAGCGAGAGAAAATCCCTTGCTTTTCAGAAGCGGGACGTCGCGAGGGCTGCTTCCGTCGTCACAAGGAAGGAACGCTAGTTGCCCTCGATATTCCACCGCCATCTTCACCTGGACTACCATCACTAACGGCAGTACGTTATTTACGTCATTACGTGACGTTAATTAGCCCAAAAAATCTAGAATTTGAACCGGAACTCAAAGGAGTAACGAGAGACTGATTTTAGGAAGCTGCCCTTTCTGCCATTTCCTTCCCATCGACGTTCATGAAACCGGTGGCCCAGGCGGAGTTGGGCTTGGAGATCGGAAGGCTGATGCGAGTAGAAGAGTAAGTTTTGATCCCAGTGGGACAGAGAGAGAGCGAGAGAGAGCGAGGGGGAGGGAAAGAGAGATATCGTGAGAGAGGGACAGCGAGGGAGAGAGAGAGAAAGAGAGAGCGAGAGAGAGAGAGCGCGAGAGGGAGAGCGAGAGAGCGAGCGAGTGAGAGTGGGGGAGCGTAGTGAGGAAGAGTGAGAGAGATGAGGGAGAGATAGAACGAGATATTTTTTTCTAGACTCTGCTCCGCCGATCATCCCTGGAACCCATTCTGCTACGACTTTTACTTTGATTTCACGATCACGATCGATGACTGCTTCCGGAATCCAGAAAAATTGTGTCCGCGGGTCCCAGTACGTTTTCGTACATATCTGCAGTGGGTCTCTCATTTTGTTTTTTTAGCTCGGTCTGAGCGCCTCCAATGACTTCGATCCGTCCTCCGACCAGATGGGCGGGAGGTGTTGGGCCCGGTGGCTAGTGTACTGTGTCGACTTCTTCAGGGAGACGCCCGAGATTTGGGAGCTCGAGCCGAAGGACAGGGTAAGAAGCTTAGAAACTTTTAAAAACTGAGAAACTACTTAAAAACTCCTTACCCGAAAATTATCTTTCCGCAAGGAATCACTGCTAGTCTGCCCAGACGTATTTAAAAATTTGCTTTGCTTGCTTTGCTTAAAAAGTCAAACTAGCACAGATCATCGCGGATAGCAAGCCCTCGAAAGCTAAACATTTCCGAGCAGGGCAGACTAGCAGTGTTTCTTGGGGAGAATCTATTTTAGCGCATATTCCAAGATTAGGAGTAGGCCAAGCTAAAAAAATCCTTTGCGGAATCTCTCCGCCACAACTAATTGAACTTCCAGAACATGTTCATCATGCACGTCAGCGGCCTTGTCATCGCCATCCAACAATTCTATTCCACCTTCCGCTCCGGAACCGAGGGCCTGCTCGTCGGGATGGGGCTGCACTTTGACCCTAGCGAGTGGCAAGTGGAAGAGGGGTACGGTAACGTACAGGGTGTCCCATAAAAACGCACCCCTCCGGCATTTCGCCGTATTACATCGAATCGGTCCCAAATTTCGACCAGAGGTGTGTCAGACCCTAAATCACCACAATCCTGAGTTATAGCCCGCCAGCTACTGTAATTGTCGAGATACAACAAAAATAAACTTTATTATTCGTTTTTCATCAGGTTTACGTCGGAATCCACCCTTCGAATATTAAGTGAAAATGAAGCGGCAAGACTTCTTTACCCCTAAAATTTTTTTTCCTAAGTAAATTAATTAAATAACCGTTGATTTCAACAATTTTTGTAACCGAAAGTCACCCCCGATATTAAGCGGAATTAGGGATTCGCGGCCGGAAGTCGATGCAAATTGATACAAAATCCAAAAAGATAGCCAAAAAAGCGTTAAAAGTTGCATAGAAAACGGTATTTCGGCGATAACTCGAAAATTACTGTAGCGATCGGGATAAAACTCAGGATTGTGGTTATTTGGGGTCCGATACACCCTTGTGCAAAGTATGGGATCAATTGGATGTAATATGGCGAAATGCCGGAGGGGTGCTTTTTTATGGGACACCCTGTATACTCTTCACGCATAATCATACCGTGAAACCGTAAGAACTATACTTTAAGGATCCCGGCCTTCCTGAAAAAGACGAGCATCCAGCTGCATACCGACATTTTCCCCACTCTGCGGGCCGCCCGCTTCACCCATGAAGAATTTTTGATCTGGAAGATGATGGCGATATTCTCGCCTGCTCGTGAGTTGATTTAAAAAAATTCTATTCTCAATAATGAACTAAAATGCATTAGTTATAAGTGCGCCAATAGGCGGCTTAAAAAATCCATATTTTGTAGCTATCGGGCTCACCGAAAGCGGAAGCAACGTGATTCGCCGGACTCGAAACAAGTATCAAAGCATGTTGGTTCAGGTAAGAAAAGAATTTATTTTTGACCCAGTAAAACCAGATCAGCTTATCAATTTCCTTTAGTGGCTTATTTTCATAATGTCGAAATTCATAATGTCGAAATTTCATAATGTCGAAATTTCATAATGTCGAAATTTCATAATGTCGAAATTTCATAATGTCGAAATGTCAGAATGTCGAAATGTCAGAATGTCGAAATTCAGAATGTCGAAATTTACATAAGCTAAAATTCCCGGTAAAGTCCCCGAATTCTAGGCAAAAAAATGTTGTCGTGAAATCAACTATAATAATTTTGCTGTGGTGTCTGTCTGTCTGTCTGTCTGTCCGTCATGTCCCAGATTCAACTCGAAGGGGAAAGGAGCTAGAGCTTAGGTCTCTTCGGATTCGGATAGAGCGTAGTCAGAAACCCCAAAACTGATAAAAAAATTATGAAAAAGTTTTAATTTAAATTATTAAAATTAACTTTGAAAGTGGCGCCTTAATAAAAGGAGTGGGGGCCCCTCTCCAGGGAGGCCACGCCCCCTTTCCCTTCGCCCCTCTTCCCCAGGCCCTTTCCCGCGCCCAAATAGCTTTTGAAGTTACTTTAATACTTTTAATACTTTTTAATTATGTTAATTTATTATTTAAATCATTTAAAGTATCTAAGTAGTTTTTGAAGGGGATTTCAGCCACGGGGGGTATCTGAAGCCATCAGGAAGGTATTTAGGTAGTTTTTGAAGGGGATTTCAGCCATGGGGGGTATCTGAAGCCATCAGGAAGGTATTTAGGTAGTTTTTGAAGGGGATTTCAGCCACGGGGGGTATCTGAAGCCATCAGGAAGGTATTTAGGTAGTTTTTGAAGGGATTTCAGCCATGGGGGTATCTGAAGCCATCAGGAAGGTATTTAGGTAGTTTTTGAAGGGATTTCAGCCATGGGGGGTATCTGAAGCCATCAGGAAGGTATTTAGGTAGTTTTTGAAGGGGATTTCAGCCATGGGGGGTATCTGAAGCCATCAGGAAGGTATTTAGGTAGTTTTTGAAGGGGATTTCAGCCATGGGGGTATCTGAAGCCATCAGGAAGGTATTTAGGTAGTTTTTGAAGGGATTTCAGCCACGGGGGTATCTGAAGCCATCAGGAAGGTATTTAGGTAGTTTTTGAAGGGATTTCAGCCATGGGGGTATCTGAAGCCATCAGGAAGGTATTTAGGTAGTTTTTGAAGGGATTTCAGCCATGGGGTATCTGAAGCCATCAGGAAGGTATTTAGGTAGTTTTTGAAGGGGATTTCAGCCATGGGGGGTATCTGAAGCCATCAGGAAGGTATTTAGGTAGTTTTTGAAGGGGATTTCAGCCATGGGGGGTATCTGAAGCCATCAGGAAGGTATTTAGGTAGTTTTTGAAGGGGATTTCGGCTATGTAGGGTATCTGAATGTGGTGGAGTGGGACATGTGGGGTAGCTCGAAGGCCAGATGGTTGCAGTCGCGAAGCGACTGTAACCATCTGGTAAGATAAAAAATAGAATGTGGAAAAAAATTTTTGGCTAGGGTTTGGCGGTTTCACCGGTAATATTTGCCTATGTAAATTTCGACATTATGACATTTCGACATTATGATACCAATTCTCTTTTAGTTAATTCGTCAAAACTGCACCGAGGGCGAGGCCATCACCAAGATGTACGCACTAATGAAAGTGCACCGGTGGTTTGAGGTCAGTTTTTCATCGACTTGCCGAAAAACATCGCTGTTCGTTTTTAAAGATGTTTGTAATTTTTTAAATCGATATAACTAAACTCGAAAAATTCTTGGTGCTGAAGATTCAGAATTTTTACTTAAATTTAATGAGTTTAAATGGCGTTAAAAATAATAATTTTTCATCCATATTTTTTAGCGCAACGCCAACCAAGCCGCAATGCTGGCCACAAAAACCTTTGTGATGGGCGGCTATGAAGTGGGCATTGCCGGGAAACTTGTCGGAGACGTCGCCTTTGCAAGGGCTTAATAAATAAATATCTGCATGAATTCACCAAAATTTGTATAAAGTTTATTGTTGTAAAATCTTTACATAAATAAATGAGCTGTGGATTTATTTCGTTAGGCAATAATCCTCAAGGGAGCTAATTTAATTTTAGCCTTTCAATTTCCTATTTTCGTAAATTTCCCTTTCAAAAAAAATTTTCCTTTTTGGCCCGGAAGTTACCTATTCGCACGTCTTCAGCACGTTTTTTGGAAAATCCTTTCCCACGTGTCATTCCCGCAAAAAGACGGATCTCCGACCTAGACAGGCTGCCGGTTTTCCGGGGTACACCTGATGGCAGTTCTGATTTTTTTGCATTCTTCCATCTGATGTGGCAAAGTGTGTCTAGTCATTGTAAAAAAAAAACAAAAAAAAACAGCTGAGAGTCTTTGAAACCCGTCATGGGGCTAATGGGTTTTGGAGCAGAATCGCGCAATCTAATTTCCAGACCGATTCCGGGAAGTCTATTCTAGAGACACATTTTGAGCAGAACATGGTTTGCAAAAATTATTGGCCATTTTATGCATTTTTTGCTATTGTGATCTAACTTTAGGCTATTTTGAGTTTTTGCGGATTTTAGAAAATCTCAAGACGCTGGTCAAAAACTGAGGTCATTGCTGGGAGTCGGGGTCCTCAAAAAGGCCCTGTATGATATTTATCGAGGAGCGAGAGAGCCAGAGAGAGAGAGAGAGAGTGAGAAAAAGTACGAGAGAGAGAGAGTAAGAGAGAGCGAAAGAGCGAGCGAGAGAGAGCGAGAGAGCGCAAGAGGGCTGTCAAATCACGTCCACAAGTACGTTTTCGGGCGCTGTTTTCCTGTTCGTGCAGCGGGAACACAACACTAATACACCCTAGTTTCGCGTCGCTAACGTGCAATTTAGCTGGCAGATTTTCGGTTCAGCCGGCTGTCGATCTCTTCCGCTTCTGCGGGGCGTTGCCCATTAATTAGCGGCCCCCGACCGCTAAAAGGTGTGTCCGGGGGTGTAGGTCGTAGTTGGATTAATTGGTATTTATGGACCTTACCTAGCTATAGAGCGCGTTTCAGCTCATTGGAGAAATCAGAGTACATTTCAAGGGTCTTTTGTTTCTCTCTCGCTCTCTCTCGCTCTCACTCTCTCTCGCTCTCTCTCTCTTTTGCTCTATCGTTCTCTCTGTCGCTCGCTGTGTGTGTGTCTCTCTCTCGCTCTCGCGCTCTCTCGCTTGCTTTCTCTCTCTCTCTCTCTCTCTCTCTATCTATCTTTTCTATTTCCTAAAAATTCCGTACCATTCTGGGCGCATTTTTGACTTTTTAGTGTTAAGCTTCCGGGTAAGATTTCCGGTCGGTCTAATTCCAGGTCCCACGTCTCTCTAGGGGGCTCCCGCGCCTATAAAATTGCCGAGGATTCCGAATCACCTGTCTTGGTCGGTAGTCTTGTGATTTTTCGTAAAGCCAAAGCGGATTCGGGTTTTTCAGTGACGATCTTGGGCATCAACAACTATTTTTTCGAAGATGGGAAGCCATGCAAATTATGAATTTTTTTGGCCAACAATCAACTATTTTTCGTTAAATCGATTTTTCTTATTATGCTCAATTTTTCATCCAGATTCGGTGTACCGAAGTGTACTGTAGGGACGCGTGAAAAAGTGCAAAAACGTCATGGACTTGCTTTTTCCGCTTTTCCCCAATCCCCGGCTAATAGGCCGGTGAGCAGAGCGCGAAAAGTTTCCATTTTTGGGCTTCGGCTGCCAAAAAAATTGGTCCCTTTTGCATAGTACTTTTTTATAGGGCTTTGGATTGCTTTTATGAGCTTTTCCTTCCTTTGAAGACCAATTAACTTATAGGTTTAGATTTAGTAGGTTTATTTTTTAGATGAATCAGCAGGATGCTGGGCCCTCGAGCCAAGTTCTACAATGTTTGGTATGCGGCTCGAGGCCAGCGAGGAGGTATTATGGTTCTATAGCCTGCAAGTGAGTTTCATGTAAACTTAAGCTTTCAGCTACAGCAAAGTTAATTGTCATTGGCATAAATAAAGATATAATTCATTATTTAGCCCCTGCAAAACGTTCTTCCTTCGAGTCGCCACCCGGAAGTTGCCTTATACTTGTGAGATGCAGGGGAGCTGCGTATACCGTAAGAATACCTTATGAAGAGCTTATTTTAATAGGTAAAAAAAGAAAATCAAATCCGGACGGTGCTGTAGCTATTTAAAAAATCTGGGTTACCCATAAAATACCTTTCCAGCCCGCGAGCGATGCACGGCCTGCCGATATCAAAAGTGTCTGGAGGTCGGGCTGATGCCGGAAAGTTAGTAAACCTGTATTTTCAAATTTTTTTACAATCTTAAAAGTTACGTGCACTAGATTACTTTAATAATACCGTTTTTTAGAAGCGGGTCGCCGCGAAGGATGCATGAGGAGGATTCAGGAAGGCACTTTTTCGCAGCCCGCTCCGCCAACTTCGCCAGGACTGCCGTGTCTAATTGAGGTAAAAAAGGGAATTTCATGATTCATCAAGTAGTGTATTATAAATTGATCAAATTAATAAAAAACTGAAGGAAAACAAAAAGTGCCAAAGTCGTGCTGAAAGCATACAGGTACGGTGAACTTTTAAAGCCTATAAAACTTTTGGTACGGCTTCAATCTTTTTAAATTAAATTTTCTTCTAAAATCTATTCATGTAATTTCATGTCTTTAATTCTTTTATTTTTTTCAGGAAGTCCGCCGAGTCCAATCCATCGCCTACCCGGCGCCTTTTATGCCGCCCGCTAGGGTCGAGAATCTGTCAGATGAGATTGGGCGATTGGCCCGACTAGAAGATTTTTGCGTAGCCGACTCACCCTGGGTCAGCTTGCAGCATCAATTTGACTTCAACTTGACCGTCTCGATTGAGGATATCTTGAAAAATCCACAACTGATTTGTCAGCGGGTGCCGGTGAGCTTTTTAAGGTGTAAACATTTTTTAAAAAGCACAGGATATTTTGATACTTACTTTGCCTGTATTTTGCTTCTAAAATCCCATTTTCCAAAAAATGTTCATGACTATAATTCGTCAAATTCGTAGTTTTTGCAATTTTTTTCCGTTAGATATTATGCGTAAAAATCGCGCTGTCCAGGCTTTGTAATTTTGAACTCCTCGAAAACCCTGTACAGCTTGGCCTGAGCGCCTCCAGCGACTTCAACCCGTTCGTTGACCGGATGGGAGCTCGATGCTTCGCTAGATGCATGGTCTACTGCGCGGATTACTACCGGGATTGTCCAGAAATATGGGACCTCAACCACACGGATCGGGTAGGATTTTGCCGGAATTTGCCAAGGAATGCACTTTTAGCAACAAAAAAATGAATGTTTTAGACCCGTTTCTGCCTTCATAGCAGTGGCGTCTTGATCCCGATTCAGTTATTTTATAATTCTTATCGTGCCGGGTATCGAGGACTTCTACAGGGCCTTGGGCTACACTATCATCCAAATGACTGTGTGAATGGAAGGTAAGGAAACCAGGAAATGGAGCTTTAAAGGGACGGGAAGTTCGAAAATCGACTTTTCCTATGCCCTAGGCCCCGACAGCTACGCGACACTCCATCGTCCTTGCGCATCGTCTTAGAGCCAAACCAAATTTGCGCGTAAAATCGAGATCGTCAGTAGTCTTGGGATAGTACGCCTCATTGGCGTGTTGCGTAGCTGTCGATCCCCGGGGGACGGCAGGGGTCGATGCCGGCGCCTCGATCTCTAACACGAGCATTTAGAGCCGGATTCGGTTTATATAACGTTGTTCTGAGATATAACTCGATATTACAGTATCCCCGACTTCCTGAGATTTACACACGAGCAGCTCCAAGAAGAAATCTTCCCATTAATGCGCCGCGTCAACTTCACTTTTGAGGAATTTTTGGTCTGGAAGAGGATGGTCGTGTTTTCGGGAGGACGTGAGCCGATTAATTTTATACCTTTTCTAGCTTTTTCTGGTTTTCTTCTTTTTCATTTAATTTTTTAAACGTAAATTATACCTTTTTATACTTTAAAGTGCCATTTAGCTATCGGTCTATCGGATCAGGGAACGGAAACTGTCCGGAATGCTAGACGAAAGTATGAAACTCTGCTAATGGAGGTACCACTTTTCTATCGTAATAACTTTAGATTTTGCGCTTTAATTGCTAAATACGCTATATTTTAGCTACTACGCCATAACCAAACTGAAGAACAGGCCATCGAAAAGATGCACATCCTGATGAGGGTCCACCGGTGGTTTGAGGTAACTTTAAAAGACTTTCTAGCCTGAAAAATTGAAAACAAGCTAGAGTTTTTAAAGTTCATAAAGAATTTCTGCCAGGATGCCCTTAACAATTTGATTATAACTTTTTTATTAAAAAAAATATTTTTCAGCTCAACGCCAACCAGGGAGCCCTCTTCTTTGCCAAGTGCTTTTTGATGGGCGGCGCAAACGCAGGGTTGGAAGAACAATTAGTGGGAGACGTATTTTTGGCTAGGGTTTGAATAAATTAATGAATTTATAGTGTTTTAAAAAGCTGATCAGGTTTATATAAACAAAATACACCATAAAAAATTATTTATAAAAATTCTAAGCAAAACTGGATCCCTAAACCGCTTGCTTCAGTTCATATCCCTCTTCCGGATCTTTGTCAATTTGCACGCCGATCAGGATCTGAAAAAAAATTTATACAACTATTAAAAATATCATTAATTTTGTTAATTTGGTAAAATATTTGAAAAATAAAAATAACAAATTTTTCTTTGTTTAAAAGGAAGCAAAAGTGACCTGATAAAGCCATCCTCCGATTAGCGCTCCGAAAAACGGTGCGACCACCGGGATCCAGAAGTAATAATTGCTGTGACTGAAAAAACTGTTTTATTTAGCTATCAAAAAGCAACCAAAAAAAAAGAAAAATTAACAACAAGTTAAGATTACCTAAAAACTTCCATTCCAAAGAGCAAAAAGGCAAAAATCCTGGGTCCGAGGTCTCGAGCCGGATTTATTGGATAGCCGACGTTTAGGTTGAGGGCACATCCTGCAAATTACCCAGTGCAAATTCTTTTTTATAGTATACCGACATTCAATAAAACCCTCTATAGATTTTAAATGAATTCAACTTACCGATCATGATCAACAAAAAGCCAAAGAATAGTGGTTGCAAGAAGACGGAGACCTGAAAAAGGTAAGGAAAAATCGAAACTGGTGCAGAAAACGTTTTTTAAAAACCGATAATTACGTTTTTGGTATTGTACTCCATACAAGCTTTCATAAGTTTTTTGAACGGCATTAGAAAAAAATAGCATTTAGCGTAAGCTTGAGGTTACCTTATTCCTTCTATCCACGCAAGCGCAGATGAAAAATGCGAGTACAGCTGTTCCAGCGACCTGCAAAAAGCTCGGACGTTAAGCTGAAGTCTAGAAAACTATAAAAATATATATAAAGCCTTAAAATAATCTAGTGTATTTAATTTTTGAGGTCGAACCAACTTACCTGATCAATGAAAGCCGTCGTATGGGAAGCATTGCTAGGCCAAGAGGTGAAGCAGGCAGTCAAATGACCGGGAGAGGGTAGGGAAGCTAGGTACCGTAGGGATCTTTCTAAAAGTTAAACTTGTTCAATTATGCTAAAATATACTATAATACGTTTTTTAACAATACTATTAACAGGCTAAAAAGTTAATAAATTAATCCAAATATTAGCAATTCCGGAACGATTTTCCAAGCGTAAATGACTGAATTACGTAGCTGACTGTCTAAACCCCGCACACTTACCGTAATATACTCCATACGCGAGGGCAGCCCCTGTAAAGGCACCCCCAAGTTGAGCAACCGAATACGGTAGCACCCATGAATATGGCATGTTTCCAAGAGTAGCCATAAGGAGTGAGATGGCCGGGTTCAGCTGGCCTCCTAAAATATGGATAATACTGGAATCCTAACTAGTCAAAAGGTTTTTAAATACAGTAATCCCGGGCCCTCAACGTCAAAAAGTGACTTCACTACGTAATACCGATACCTACCCGAAGTCTGATAAGTCGCCAAAGCCGACAAGGTCAAGGCAAATCCCCAGCCAATGTTCATCCATCCGACAGGGTGTACTGTAGGCAGATGGCGCAGCCGAGGAACTGGAAAATGGAAAGTTTTTATCGATTCTAAGCCTATAAGTATTTTCCACGACTTAAGCAGAATGCATAGACATTAAAGTGACTTCAAGGTATCGTAACCACCAAAAAGCAACATAGTTTGTAATTTTTTTAATGTTTTTCGTGTTTTTTTACGAATTTTGGTTTAGTAAGATCCTTAAGGTATCTAATTCCAAAACGTACCAGCAACATCATGGTCCCTATAAACTCCGAAAGGCAATTCCGAGCCAACTTGCTGCTCAACCGGAACAGAGACCGGGCCCGGACCATCGGTTGAGTGGAGGGCTTTCGCATTCCTTAAAGATAGGTTTTATTCTTTTAAACTCAGAAGTACGAAGTTTTACTTTTTACGCTATGCTGGCAGGTGTTCGAAATACTCTTTTTGAAGCCTATGCCGAAATGGGCAAGCGAACACCTCCCAAAAAATTGCTCGGAGATCCGCATCGGCTGACTCATGCATACTACTAGTTTTTATAGGTCCACTGCGGAACCAATGCAAGAACAAAATGTCAAACTTGCGCCCGATCAGGGCAAGACTGATTACTACATTTACTGTCCTTTTTTAAATGATGAAAACGTGCCTTAAAGGGCTGCCGACGGCATGTGTCGATCCCCCCCCCCCATCAACAAATTGGCAAGTAGCCAACAGGGGAGAGGCGCACAGACATTTTCTTTCCAGCGCGTAACCGAATGCCTATGCCGTCGGCATCCCTTTAATCCCAAAAAAATAAAGATCTTAGAATTTTTATGTAATCCCGCCACGTTTTCTAAAAATTTTTGCTTATAATTATTTGAATTACACTGCGCTTTAGTGAAACACGGTTTGTAGACGCGCACGAAAAATAAAGAGACTGATAGAAAAATGATACTTACCAAGAAGTAAATTTAATAATTCTAAATAATTAATTTTTCAATAATAAAAATGTAGAATTTGCAACGCCCAGGAAAATTTTGAAAAAATATTAATAAAATTTGAATTTGAAACTTTTGCTGCTTCGATTTTTTATGCCTCATGATTTATTTTCTAAGATCTTGACGCGCAAACATTTTGACAAAAATAGCCTGAAAAAGTGGCAAAAATCAACTAAAATCATGACAAAACGAACCCAAATTCAGGGATTCAGGAATATACAACAAGTTCCGCTTGGCACCTCTAGATGCTTTCAATCGCGAGGAAAGCTTGACCACAACAGTCTCGAATACCGAAAACAAACCGCACTTCCAACAATCAACGGCGCCTCTTTGTCGTCCATTCTGGATGGTCCGGCTGGCCAAAAATAGGCTTAGCAAGTTTGTGTACAGTACTGTCAATAGGTGTGGAGCGTAGTGCTGGCCGAACGGAATCTATGACTCGGCAGGCGAGCCCCGAAAAATTATGCAAATCCGGTGGTACTCGAGTACCGGCGGGATTATTATAGGGAGCCGGTCGATTGGGTAAAATTTGTATCGTGCACACCGAGTCCGTGCACATAAATATTTATTGGCCGGGGAATTGGCGTGTCAGGAGGACCAGATTTGGGTGGGTTGGGTGATTTATAGCATTGTTTACCGGTCATAAAAAATTAATATTAAACAATAAAACAACAAAAATTATTTCCAAAGCCTCAAAGAATCCTTATTTTAAAGCTGTCATCGGCATTTAAAGGTACGAAGCTCTCGATTCCATTTCGCAATGGGTTTTTAAATTTGTGTAGCTTTTTCAATTCAAGGTTTTCGTAATTTATTGTATATTTTCCCCGGTAAATTTGATTAATAATTGTTGTTAATGACAGGCAAACAAAAAATTTTTGCAAAGTAAGAAAAGGTTCCGGTTTCCGCGGATCAAATTCCGCCCATTTGTACGCATCTTCCCCCACAATCTCTTGGATAAATATTCCGTCTCCGACTTTCTTAGATCGGTCCCAGCCAATTTTAGGGAAGGTGGTTGTGGTGCAAAATTCACAAAATTTTGTTAACTTTTAAATTAAATTTATTAAATTAATTAGCTTCTGGGCCATTCTCTGACGCCATCAGCCCGCTGTTTGTATAGCCACTGGTCTTCAACGGGGCCAACTCAGGTTTCCGTCCTCGGTGGCAAGGGTAGGTAAAGATTTCGACGGTACGTCGGCGGTAGGCCTAAATTTAATTCTGAGGGTTTTTCCGCTTAATCTTAAGCTAAATCCAAGCTATTTCTGTAGATATTGGAAACTTCTGGCGTACCTTAAATAAGAACAACACCATAACTGCATCAGCCGTCGCATATCCGGAGAAAAACGTGGGTACGCATAGGCCCCATTCATGCGGCACCAAGCCTGCAAAAACGGAGATGTTACGAGGTTTATTTTCCAAAACAGCTCATTCCCCCACCTGTGGTCCCTCCAACCAAAATCACAGCTGCCGGTGCGTACTCGAAAAATACGGGTGATACCGCCTTAACAAATTTTATAAAATGATCCAAGTTCTTAGAACCTGAGCCATCAGCAGTAGCAACAGCTCGAACTGCAGCTTTTGCATAGTCGTACTCAAGACTGAGCTTTTCACGTGGTAGTATCTTAACAGATTGAATCCAGGGTATCTGAAACAGTACAATTTGATTCCGGTAGTACTAGCAAGTCCATAGAACGCCGCGAAAGCCAGCATTGCTCCAAAAGTTCCGATAATGCTAGTCCATTGAATCTGCTCGACTCCTTCGTCGTTGGGGTACTGTAATTAACTGTTGGATAGTGTCCATCTCTCGCATTCTTTCTCTCGCTCTCTCTTTTTCCTTTCCTCTCGCTTTTTCTCCTCTCTCTCTCTCTCTCTCTCTCTCTCTCTCTCTCTCTCTCTCTCTCTCTCTCGCTCACTTACCGAGTAAACCGGGCCGTAGTAGTAAATATTGTCGGTTAGGTTGACCTGCAGATATCTCGCCGCCTCATATTGGGAGAGCTTGGTTCGGATTGGTGTCGGCTGAAAAATCAGCAGGGAATCAGAGGGAGGGAGAAAGAGAGAGTGAGAGAGAGAGAGTGAGAGCGAGTGATAAAGAAAAGTTCGGCCAACCTGCATGGAAATGATGCAAAAAGACTCGAAGAAGAAGGCAAAGAAGAAATGGCAAAAAACGACGGCCAGAATTCCCAATTTACGCCGGAAGACGCCTTCGTATTTCCTAAATCAGAGCGTTGTAACTATCATTATCCACATTCTATTTTCTTGATATTTTCGCCGTTTTTCCCACTTTTCAAAAGCGGACTCCGGGCAGCTCTTGATCTTTACTTTTTCCTTATAGTCTCCCACTCCCACCCAAGAATATGTAGTTCACCGGTGGATTAACGGGAAGTAAATACGAGACAAATCAGTAAGTAGAGCAGCTACAATTTTGAAATAAACAATCACTGAAAATTTTTGAAAATTCTCAGACCACCAACGACACGCCGTGGGACCGTATGTCTAGTTCCAGGCGTAATTTGGCCGGTTTTTGGAAAATGTCCGGACTAAATCAAAGCGCAGAAATACGAGACAGCGTAGTGGGTAACTGCAGGCTTACTCTAATTGAGAATGGTAGAAGTTTTGTTACTAAAAAGTTGCCTTTTCTTGTTGAAAGGGATAGTGCCAGAGAGCTTGCGCAATGATTTTCAATGTAAGTCGATCTTTTTCAGTTTTTAAAGGGGCCGAGAAGCGCCAAAGTCAATCCTTTCAGCTGGGCATCGACAACTAAAGACGAAAACAAATGACGCTTGTAAGCCGAATCTCAAGGGAACACGTGGCAGTCTAGACTTTGAATTGACAACGCCACTATTTTGGCGTTTCCCAGCCCCTTTAATAATTTTTAGTAGTATCTACTACAAGAGCAGTAGTATCTACTCTTACTTACCTAGTAATTTTTGTAAATCGATAGAAACAATGGATTCCGAGCAGCGACATCGACTGCCCGAAGCTGTTCACAAAAATCGTCAGCGCTCAGAAGGAAGCCGTCCAAGATTTCACGAATGTACGCGTCACTACGATGAAGCCACGCTCGTCGAGGACGTAGGACTAAAAGGAGACGTCTGCTTAGGCTTAGGCCTGGGTTAAGGCTTATGAATAAGCTTCGCTTGGGATTACGTTTAGGCTAAGGCTAAGGCCGAGGCGTAGGTTTGCGCTTAGGCCAAGCTCACCGGATCAACAATTCTCAACACAACAGCGTAATAAATATTGTATGCGGCAATAAACTTTAGCATCCGCTTGTAGCCCTTGACTTGGACCTGTTTTTCCGTGACGATCACATAGAGGAGAAATATGTTTAAGGCAACCCCAAGTCCGGCCACTGCATTAAAGGCATAGCCAAGCCGCCACGACCCTCTTACTTCGCAAAAGCATTCACTGTCGCAGAACATCTGGAAAGGGTTCAAAAAATGCGGAATAAAGTAAGGAAGTATAAAATTGATGAAAGTGGCTTTCAATTTGCCGGAAACGTGATACGACTAAACTGAAAACATACAAATAAAAATATAATGGATAACTTCCACTAGTTCTAAATTTTTTGGCAGGGTGCTACTAATTTGGGCCAAAAATTGCTACAGTAATCAGACGCAAAAACTGTAGTAAATTTACGTGCATGGTTGGATTTTTCCTGCTTGATTTCACTTCATGACAAACTGTCTGGCAAATATGCAAATGCCGCGTCAATATACGGTAGAAAAAGAGAACTGTGGACTGGTAAGTCGGCTTTTTTTTGGCTGTTGGGGTTCGGCAAACCAACGCAGATTGGAACGCGACACGCGACGCAAGAGTGAGTATTTTCGACAATAATGCCACGACAAACAGTGAAAAAATGAAAACCCATACCACACCCCCACAAGGGAAATTTATACCTATTTGTAGTATCGTACACTCATTCATAGGGATTTCCTGGAAAACCCCTTTTCAACATTAGTTTACATCATAAAATCCCTACGGGAAGCTATGCATCAGAAGTGCAGCTGTTTTGATAGTAGGGAATTATGAGGTACAAGATACGGTACATGATTCCAGGTTGGATGCCCTTTACTGCAACACGCCCCGGGGGAACAGTTTTCGTTACTTGATGTGGGGGGCTGATGTACGATTCTACTGGTTATTGGCTACGGTAGTTCTGCGCAGAACGCGAGAGAGACTGGGAGACGGAGAGAGAGAGAGAGAGAGAGAGAGAGAGAGAGAGAGAGAGAGAGAGAGAGATAGAGCAAGGGAGGGAGGGAGGAGAGTAAGAGAGAGCTAGAGAGAGAGCTAGAGATATAGATGGTGAGAGACAGAGAAAAAGTATATAAAATCCCAACAAAATCGACATAACCTTAAAAAACCTCACATTTGAATTTCATTACCTTTAAGCCAGACAAACTAATGTCACAAATTCCGAGAAGGAGCTGAACTTTCCGCGTTCTGATTATCCCGCGCGAATTGGGCTACGGAAGCGTGAAAATCTTGGGATTGCGGCGGCCAGGGAAAGTGGCCTCTGGCCTTATTTTTGGCGGATAAATACGTTCGGAGACTATACGGACAGTTCAGGTTAGCAAAAATAGAGGAAAGGGTGTTTGAGAGTGAGAGAGCGAGGGAGCGTGAAAAAGAGAGAGAGAGAACAGAGAGAGAAAGGAACTGATCAAAATACATGAGAAAGTTGCGAAAGTAAAAAGTTATTTACATGAGAACTTTGGGGAACTTTTACAGCGGAAAATCTTGAAAAAAAATTAGTTGTGAGCGGAAAATGACCGAAAGGAAAATCAACATGGCTGCCGTCAGACAAATTTTCGCTACGAAATTTGCATCCAACAAAATTTGCATCTCTGTACGCATTTATGAAGGAAATGGGAACTCTTTACAACAACTGCGTCCATCATTTGGTCGCTTCACATCCCAGCAAGGCTTTGGAAAACCTAGAGGTGAATGCAAATTTATGCAAATTCGGCTAGATGATAATTTTTTAGAATGGTGCTCTCCGTTCCGCTACTGGACAAATTCCGCTCCGTCGTCCAGGGGCACGTTCTGGACGACCCGGTGGACCGGCTGAACTACCGTACCGCCGCCCTCGTGCTGTCGTTTTTCGCGATTCTCGTCTCGGCTGAGCAGTAGGTTTTTCTTCGTTGCTCTCTCTCTCTCTCTCGCTCTCTCTGCCTCTCTCTCTTTGGCCCTGTTTCGCTCTCACTCCCGCTCTCTCTCGCTCTCGCTCTCTCTCGCCTAAAAGCCTCTTTTAAAGGTCCTCTGAAGCCCCATTTTTTCCTATAGATTCGCGGGTTCACCTATCAAATGCTGGATGCCGCAAGAGTTCGGCGAGGGCTGGTCCCAGTACGTCCACCAGTACTGCTTCACCTCGAACACGTACTTTGTGCGCAACAACGACACCGACGCGTTGGACTCGGATCATAGGGAGCAGGTACACCCTCTCTCGCGCTCGCTCTCTCTCTCTCTCTCTCTCTCTCTCTCTCTCTATCTCGCTCACTCTCGCTCTGTCTCGATGTCTCTCTTTCCAGATCCCCCACATCGCCTACTACCAATGGGTGCCATTCATGTTGGCCGTCCAGGCCCTGTGCTTCTACCTGCCGAACTGGCTCTGGACGGCGTACGCGTCTGGGTTCAGTACTTTCTATGTCAATTGGTGTGTAACGTACTCGATCAGGCATCGACTTGGCGAACTGCGTCGAGGGGGCGCTCAAGGCGAAGACGCTCACCGGGGAGGCTAGGCAAAAGGAGGTGAGGAGCGGGGCTTTAGAGAAATGCGTTTTTTCGTCCAGATCGAGCTCGTCGCCATCACCGTCTCCGAGGGGCTCGGCCTGGGCGAGTCGAGGAACAGCCGCTATTTCCGGTTCCGGTAACTTGGATCACACGCCTGAAGACCGGTCTTTTTAGCCGCGACTACCTGTCGAACACGCTGACGTGGCTGTACATCGTCATGAAGTGCCTGTACGTCGTCAACATTGTCGCCCAGCTGTGCCTTCTCAATCGCTTCCTCGGCACGCAACACCATCTGTTTTGGGGCTTCAATGTGGGTGGACGAGAGAAAAGGAGAGAGAGAGAGAGAGAGAGAGAGAGAGAGAGAGAGATAGAGAGAGCGAGAAAGAGAGAGCTAGAAAACGAGAGAGGGAGAGAGTGAGAGACAGAAACAGAGAGAGAGAGAGAGAGAGAGAGAGAGAGAGAGAGAGAGAGAGCGAGAAACCTTGCAAATTCGCCCGTTTCCAGGTATTCCGCGCCCTCCTTCAAGGCATGGAATGGGACCGCACCGGCCTGTTCCCACGCGTCACGTTCTGCGACCTGCGTGTCCACCAATCCCACGGCGCTCCCATGACGTACACGGTGCAATGTGTGTTGCCCCTCAACATGCTCAACGAGAAGCTGTTTGTGCTGATGTGGGCCATGCTCGCCCTCCTGCTCCCCATCACCACCCTCAACGCCATCTACGCCCTCGTCAAAGCGGCGCTCCCGCGGAATGGGACTGTCAATAAGTGTGTTAACGGGGGGTGTGCTTGTTCTAGAAACGCCAATCAAGATAACAAAAAGTGCATTACTATTGCCCTTAGCAAAAATGTAGCCATTTTTGAGTGGAAAAACTAGCTAAAAGCACCGCGAAAATTCTGGAAATGTTGTCGAAAATGGCCATTTTTGATCGAAAAATCGTTTTTTTTTATTTTCGAATAAAATATGTACAGTTTTTACGTTTAAAAATAGGTGTTTAGGAACACTGAACAAAATAAAACATTATTTATATCACAAAAAGCATCTCGAGGAATTTGTCCAAAATTCTTCGACTTGCTTTTCCAGATGGCTCAAGCACGGGCCAGTGTACGAGCTGGGGCAGGTGCGCCGCTTCGCCAGCGAAGGTTTGCAGGGCGGTTGGTTTTTTTTAGGATTTTCTGAACATAAAAACCCAAAAAAATAAAAAGTAAGGCCATTGTCTTGGTTTTAAGCTTGTCTAGGAGTCCATAAAAAGTTTGATGTTCCAGACGGGATGCTGGTGCTCGGCTTCGTCGAGAACCACGCTGGGCTCGGCGTCACGCGCGAGGTGACAGGGAAATTGTGGGTTTATTGATTTTTTGCGAGGCTGAGCAAGCTAGCAGAGGTCATGGAGTAAAAAGTCGTTAAAATTGTTCTGTTTCAATTTTATCTCGTACTTTTGCATTATCGGGGGCTGTTTCAGGTTCAGGGAATTTTTATGTGTTCAGAAATTGCTGGTAACGTAATAGTAAGTATTTTCATAATGTTTTTAATAAGGAAAAATTATCTTAAAAACATTCAAAAAATTTAAATGTGTTTGTTCGAAAATCGGCCGTTTTCGCCAAAAAATCGATCCTTTTGGATTTTTTTGCTAAAAATTTGTGGTCGTTTTTCCCTAATGTTTCCCCCGATAATCCCACAGAACCTGTTATTTCTCCAGGATGGCCGAATTCTCTGCCGCCATCCAGCAGGGCACCGCCGAGATGACGCCCCTCCTCCCCGACGTGGTCAAAGATCCGCTCCCCGCCCGCGTGCCGCCGCGACGCCAACGAGTGCTGGCCAACTAGCAGAACAACGACACCACCACGACGACGACCACGACACACTACAAAGTACAAGAATCCACAACGCCCCCCGACCCCATGGTTTCGATTTTTCCGCATTTCCCTTTTCCACTTGCGCAATTCCCTCTCTCCGAATGGTATTTGCATGTCAGTGACTCGCTTTCGACTAGTCCAACTACTGTATTCTACCTCTCTTTTGTCTTGTAATTCCTTTTTCTTGACTGGCACGATCGATGGATAAAGTATCTGAACGGAATTTTGGGTTTTTGGAATCGGATAACACGAATCTATAACCTAAAAATTGCAGGATTCGATATTTCAGGAAAACGGTTCTAGGGTGTCACATTTTGATTTTTCCTATTGATGCATAATGTATTTTTATAGTTATTTTGGTACTGGACTGTTAGCGGGGGAAGGCGATTTTTAGCAGGGCGAAACGCATCTCATTTTCCGCCTTTTAGCGGGTGACGGCCTGTTCGTCTAAATCCGTTTCGCCTAAACCCGTTTCGCCTAAACCCATATCGCCTAAAACCCGTTTAGCCTAAACCCGTTTCGCCTAAAGCCCATTTCGCCTAAACCCCATTTCGCCTAAAGCCCATATCGCCTAAAACCCGTTTCGCCTAAATCCCATTTCGCCTAAATTATTGACCGTTTGCACTGCTGCATTTTGTCCAAAAAAATCACCATTTTTCGAAATACTTGTAAGTGTTGTAGGATTTTCTAAACATAATTTTGCAAATTCCTTGTCAAAAACCACGTTATGAAGCCAATTACATAGCTTTTAATGGAGAATTTCAAGGAGTCTCTTTAAAATCTTACGAAACTATTATAAAGTTTAGAAAATCGCCGACTTTTGGTCAATAATTTATATATGAAAATGACCAAAATTTAGGCGAAATGGGCTTAGGCGAAACGGGGTTATGGGCGATAGACAGGCGAAATGGATTTAGGCGAAGGGCTTTAGGCGAATCGGGTTTTAGTCGAAACGGGTTTTAGGCGATATGGGTTTAGGCGAAACGGGTTTAGGCGAAACGGATCTAGGCGAAGTGACCGGAATTCCCTTTTAGCGGGGGCGAAATTTTTATGCCCAATACGTCGCGAAAATCTAAGTTTATTTTTAGAGTTTTTTAAATAAGTTTTAATGACTAGGAAGTCATAAAGATTATCTCGATAGGCAAGCGATAATTTTATTGGCGTGATAATAATCAGTTGTCGTTGCAGCGATCCTCCCAGCAGGTGCAAATCTCGAAGTTCGCTAAATATCATACGAGCGGGCTCCATTTCATCAAAATGTGCGACCGACCTCCTTTCTGGTCGCTGAACGACATGCAGCCCGGATGCATCCTCACCCACCTAGCCATGTCACCCTCCTCTGCACAACCCCGAGCCGTGGCGTTGATCGCTGAATTTTCAGCTATGAAATTGAAAAAAAAATGAGTGACCAATGACGTAACCAACTTGGTTAAGACGAAATAAAAAACCCGAAACGAGCATGAAAATTCAGAAACCCACCTCCCAGTTGTATCTTTGTGGTGACGCAGATTTTCCCAGCGCATGTCGCGGTTTCGGAACCGGGCTATGTTTTTGATAAGAAAAAGAATAAATCGGTGGAATCAAAAGTTGTAGCCCGGAAAATAAGCAAAAGAATAAATAAGCAAAAATGATAGATCGGTGCTCACTTACCCTGCCAAAAAAAAGACCGAAACCTCGAAAAATTCCAAAACACTCACGTTTTTGCAGTCTTTTCTAAAAAAAAATGTTGTGAGCTTTGGATGCTGCTATTTTCCAAACAAAAACAAACTATAAAAAACTGAAAACGAACGGTATTGGACTTACCCCGCAAACATTGGTGCCCATTGGCAGGCGTAGCAACGACGGGTGTCGGCTTCAAAATAGTCTAATTATTTTAACGCCGATGTGGCAGGTATTGATGTAATCCGTCTGATGCGTACTTTTGAATGTTTTGGAGCTGTCGATATTTTCTACCGGTTTTAAGAGTCTATGTATCTTTACTGCTATCTTAGGCTTCTTTTCAACGTTTTTACCATCATCCGCAAAAACAAGCGCAAGGCCCAAGAATAAGAAAAGTAAGCCAAATACAGACATTCTTTGAAAGTTTCTTAAGAAGTGAACGATTTTCACCGTCCGACTTGTGGGTCGGCTTTTTCAATTCTGCCTTGAATCCGGAAGTGCTTTTTAAAAATCGGCGTGATATCGGCTAGACCGGGCAAGTTCTGCGTGTTCGTTTCCGAATTTTAAAAAGTAAACGAGCTAAAATTTATTTTTGCCACTATTTTAAATGTTTACCAGGGTTGAAAAGCCGCTTCGCGACTTTTCAACCCTGGCCCCGTCTCATCGCAAGTTGTTATTCATTTTGCATAATTGTGCCCGAATTGCGAAGACAAAAAAATGAAAAACACTTCCTCCATCCCTTTATATAAGCTACTGCAACTTCCGGCGGATGCTAATTGTTTCCTAACAAAGAGGGCGCCCGAAATTTTTAGAAAAACTGAAAATTAATGTTTAAAACAGTTGATTTTGTGAAATCTGATAATCGTGCAGTCATCCCAGAACCATTACGCACCTAATACCTTATACGTACGTACCAATCGTAATAATACGTACCTTAAATTTCATCCCCTATCGAGATATCCTCCGGACATGGTGACGGAAGTTGCATGCAAAGTGGCACGCACACACACACACACACACACACAGACACTACTTTTTTATATATAGTAGGATGTGTTGGAATCAGCAAACTTTGATGTCCGATA